CTGTAGGTTCATGTTTATTTCGCGGTTTTTTTATGATAAAAATAATATTTAAAAACATGTCCATACAAATGATAAAAGTATTAGAATTGCAACCGCTAAAATTTTTTAATTTTTATATCGCTATATTTTTTTATTTAAAACGTATTCTTTTCTCTCGCTTCGTCCGCCATTACTAGCTTAAAAAAAATCTCCGGTTGGGCCGCAATGCATTCTGGGATATGCTGAGCCGGGAAGGATCCATCAGACCTGTCCTTCGATTCGGGCCAAAGGAAGGACGTATTTGTCGGCCGCATTGGAGGAGTCTTCGGTTTGGGACCTCCTTCGTCGCGGCGCTGTGACGTATGCGGCCGACGAATTCGRCCTTCAGAGGACCCAGCCCACCGTTTTGGACACAGCCAATAAAGGCTAGATAAGTCATGCCCACTGTTGGCCAATGGAGACCAGTGTCCTCACACGGCGGCCATCTTGGGACGGGGAGCTCACCCACTCTTAACATGAATGTGTGTGGTGTATTTACTATTTAAATAACCACAACTTGGTCAATTTTGATTGGATTTTCAAACGGATTTTTTTGTTGTAAAGGTGAGACATGTTGTTATGAAGTGGCATACTTATAATGAACATTCATTTAAAAATTACGTTATTTTGATAGGTAAAGTAATATCAATATATGCACAGAATGCATTTAGGTTACTTTTACAGGTATTTACAAATAAAAATATAAAGCAAAATTAACACAAGTCTATAAAAAAATGGTACAAAATAGTGCTAGCAGTGGTAATTAATATGAAAGACCACTGTTTTATGTTTTTTTATTTTTTCCCTAGACATAATTAGCCTTTATAATGCTTTTACATAATAAAATAGTTCCTTATACACGTGTGTGTATGTAAGGTGTACTTTCAAAAGTACTACATGTAAAGGGAAAAAAACCATCTTGTTTTCCTTCCTTGCTCTGTCTGAGGAGGCTTTCTGTGTCTGACTCCTGGCATTCTGGCTCTTCCCATCTCCTCCTCGTCTCTCCTCATTCTGCCTGCTTGCCTGGTGCAGCATCTCACCCCCAGCACAGTGCTTTGCAATACAAATCTCACAAAGACTTCTCATTCAAATACACGCTCGTGTTTTCTCTTTTACAGCTCTTGATGGAGTTTCAAACATCCCTTTTAAAGAACTTTCAGCATGTAAAGAGTCACACTTTGCTGCTTTGTCTTGGAAGCATTTCCTCCTATATGCATCCCTAATTTTTATTTCTTGTCTTGTCGTTTCTCCTGTGTGTTTTTCTCTCCTGCGTGCCTCTGCTGCTTGTCTCTGTCCCTGTCACCGCTTCTCCTGTCCCTCTGGCCCCCTCTGCTGTGGTGGGTGTGTAAAAACAGCCTCCAGAGGACAAGACCTGGGTATACTCCCCCCTACACTATGGCTCAGAGTCTAAAGCCCTGCCTGATGGAGATTTGGAGAGAGAGACAGTAAGTGAGACGCTGAAGCATAAAGCACATGACTCAGATGAGGAGTCAGATTGGCTCATGTTGAGGTGTTAACTCCAGAGACGATGAGATGTATCAGGTTGTAACAAATCCCAAAGTCCATTATTCTTTTAAGAACATGCCCCATCTGTGTTCACAAAGCCCCTACCAACATAACAGCATTCCTTTATCATTGATAAAAAGATAGAAATATGAGTATGGTGCACCAAGTGTAAAATAAAATATTAAAAACAGTCACCCAACACATTTAAATTATTTAGCTCACATTTTGTTATTTAGCTCACTGTTCTTGTATTTTACTCAGTCTAAAAGTGTAAATCTAAATGTAAAAGTTAAAGCTAATTGTTGAAGTTTAAATTAGGGTTTTGAGAGTGGAACACAGCCTTTGCTGTTGGTGCTCGACTCTTGTTATGACCTCATCATCTTGAGACAAAAGCAACGACTAACACTGCTAATGCTGCTGAAGATGGCCCTCAAAATTCAAAATGTTCACTGAAAGCAAAATGGGAGGTACCTGTGGTCCAGCAGTTTGATGAGCAGCTTGGACATCAGCTGCAACTTCAAGTTTGTCTTGTAGGGAAACATTAGCAGTGTTAGCAGCGTTAGCGGTTGCTTTTGGCTACGTTCACACTGCAGGCAAATCCGATTTTTTTGACCCATCTGACTCATATCCAATTTTTTTATGATAGTCTGAACGCGACAAATCCGATTTTTTCAAATCTGACCCAGGCCGTTTCAGTATGTGGTTTTAAATCGTATATATATCTGACGTTTTCAAAGTGACTGCAGTGTGAACGCTCATGTCACATTCATCTGACTTTTTCATCAGGAGGAGGGGGTGAAGGATCGATAAGACACTAACCTCAAGTCTC